GCCCAGAAGGCAGGCTGGTGCAATTGTGATTCTTATAGTGCAACAACAATTTCATTCTTGAAAGTTATTTTGCCTATTTTAATTGGCTTCTTCTTGGTATGTTTATTGGCTAGGCTTGGTTTATTTCAATGCACATTTTTTTATCTATTACACAACCTCTAGTACAGTTGTTTTATTGCACTGCTTCCAATATAATCATAACCTTTTTCCATGATGTGTTCTACTGCCAAAACTGATTTTCCTTTTGCTTATCCGAAATAGAGGCATTCCACCCTCTTTACCTTTCTCGCCGGAAGGAACCATGTCGGTCTCCAGACATGCTTAGCCATTTTCATAATTTTCATGTTCAACCTTTGCTTTTGCGCAAAATTTCTTAAGCATTTAGACATGCAAGGTGCTAGAGACAGTTGGATGGCAATTCTTCTATCTTGCAGCATTTGTTAAATCAATATGATTAATTCTGTGCAAATGCAATTCATCCGTGTGCGAGGACGGGTTTGTTACCAAAGTAGTGCAGTATCGAAAATCAATTGTCGTTCGACGGCTGAGCTTCTTGGATACCTTGGCCACAAGACTGCTTTCCAATAATCAATATCTGTTACTACGAAAGAACGGCCAGTGGCTAGGTTGTCATAGTCTGTGTCGCGGTATCGTTCACTTTGATATTTGCCAAGAATTCATCTGAAACAGGCCGGGGAATTAGAGTATTCCGAAGTTTGAATTCCTGTGATTTTGAATTCAGGCAAGTATTGCTTTCAAAATACAATATTGATACAATTATTCCGGCAATTCATGAAGTAATTAATTTTAGAATTTCATAAATGGAGAATTGGCATTCCTAAATGAACTTAAAGTACTATAGAGTATATCATGGGATAAATATGTGATGCTTCCCAATTTTCTCCCGTTCTGATTATAAGTCGCAGCGTCGTTCTTCCGAGCAGATTTGCCCTGAAAGAAAACAGTGATTCGCAATATCAATTGCTGCTCATTCCGCTTGAGGTTCACGAAAAGCCTTCATCATGGCTGCCGAGGCCCCTGAAAAAAGTGCGCTCCACCGTCATCTGCCATGTAATGTGAACCCATATTGTAATCGCTGCTCATCATCTATGGAGTAAATGCAGAGATTGGCTTCTCGAGAACAATGCTGCTACATTAAAAGGTAAGAAGTATATATATATATATCTGAAAGAAAGAAATCGGTCCGGAGACGAACCGTTGAGAATTTATTGGCCTGATTATATTTTATTACGATTATCATATTATTACTGTATATTCACAGGCAATAACTACCTAGCAGCACTACATGATGATAACATAGCCAGTGAATGCCTCAGAATGACATTATGATGTCATCTAGTCTTTTTTAGCATTATATTTCATTTGTTTCATCTGAGACATGATGGTCATCTAGCCTTAAGACAATTCCGGTTCTGGGTGCAACCGAATGGCATACATACTCCTTGTCCCATTCCTCTGCGCGGGGAGATGTCAGTCATTCCGAGGAGGCCCCGTGTATCAGACTAATACCCTGGTTTCCCATGGCTTCCAGCTGGTCTTATGTATCCTGGCCTTATGTGTCTATTGAAGTGCTAAAAGAGAATCGAGCACAGTATCACCAAACTCAAGTTTAAATTTAAAACATGTAGATTATTAATATATAGTTGCGTGGCCAAATCATACTTTAAAGAAAGTACGTTCATACCGAAAACTGAAAAACGCATTGAAACTGTTTATTTGTACCCAGCCAAACGAATAAGCTCGTCAGTTGGGCAGCACCGTCGTTTAGGCTCGTTTCTCGCGAGCCTTTTGCAGGATGATCCGTGTTGGTTTCTGCGGGTAAGTGCGTGATCCGCAGCTGTTGTGACGTCTGCTGCCGAAGACGTGCATTTGGCCTATGCTCCTGATTAAGTGGTTTTTGGGTCACAGGCTTGATTAAACTTGTCAAATGCGCGCAGAGTTCGTATTCTTAGTCCAGATTGACATGTTCGCAAGAAATCGATCTGCGTCTCGCAGGCGCAAGCGTTTTCGACCGCTCTCGGTGACATGGAAAAATTTCGAGTATGGTCGTTAGCACGTTGACTTCGTTAATTTAATTTCTATCCGCCGAAATCTTCTTATGAGCAGTAGCAGGAAACATTCTTTCAACTCGTGACTCTCGTTCGGTTTTCTTTCCTGCTCTGAGGCCAAATATATTTTTAATTTTATTCGACAGTAAAGCTCGAAATAAATGCAGTGCATATTAGTGAGGTCCAATTCGGGGTTACCAGCAAAGGTTAGTTTTCGCTGTTGTCGGGGGAAATAACTAATGAGCGTTACTTATCAGGATTTACATGGCGGTGAGATTACGAAATGACAAATAACGGAAATTACACTCATTGTTAAAAACACACAGTATTATTCGCTTTTGCAAAGCTCGATGCAACTTCTTTAAGCCCATGAATACATGAGCAAATCATGTTGCGAATTCTACTGCCGTGACGATATCAGATGAACCTCTAACATTTTGAGTAATGACTTTAAAATAAGCAACATTTAGTAAAGTGCAGAACGATCATGTCAAGTCATCATAAAATTGCCATGCTAGATCTTGATACCTTAGTATACATTCACCATCCTACACATTATTGCACAACAGTGAAAAGGTAAAATGGATCGCCGGGTAGAAATCTGTCCGAGCCAGAAAAGCATCTATGCAGGATGCGGTTGTCTTGATGCAGGAACAGTTCTGAACGAACAGTCCGTTGCTTGCTGAGGTCGCGATGGCCATTCTTTCCAATCACCCTTTGTCATTTTCCAGTGTCTAATAGTGCATGCACATTGAAATCGCCATTAGAATGATGAATTCCGTAGTCGGCGCCTGGCACAAACAACATCTATTTCATTCAGAAAGGACTCATAACTCTCAATGCTACTTTGGAACTCGAACCTATTACAGGGTAAATGCTCTCGCCTGCTGCAACCTCAATCAAAAGACTGCCACTCTTCTGTTGACAGACTTCCATTCAATGATTCTATCAGTCAGGTTGGATTTTATCAGAACATTGACACCGCCTGAGCGGGCATCGCGATGTCGACACCTGAATATAATAACTCGCACCCGCAAAAGTTCAGAATTCCAGAACATTGACGCTTGAGAGTCCAACTATGTCGAGTTCGTAATTTGCGGCCTCAACAACTAGCTCTTGCTTTTTTTTCTGAGTGGGAGATGTTCCAATTGCCATGTACTCCCGTTGTCGGTATTTTTGCTGCGGTATCTTGTATGACATGCTATAATGGATGATGCCACGCGTTCTACCTCCTCCATTCACAGCGGTTAGGGAGTGCACTGATGACTTAAAATTTTGCAATGCTCGAGTTTGCTTTCAGAAGCCGTCGTAGTGATGCAACGCTCCTAGCTGTTAAAAGCGATGAAACATATTCTAGTCGCCGACTCTTCGTAGTCTGTCTCAGTTCCGTAACACCCATTGCGGCTTTCGGTAATCTGGCGACGGCGGAGACGGCACACAGTTCGATAAAGATAATCCCATGAGGGGAGATGACTACATTTTACGCAAACTTCGCTATCGTCCCCTAACATTCTGTTCCTTTGTCATCAGGGCTTCGGACCGACAAAAGCAGACTTTTGCACGTTGTTCTGATTTTAGCTAGCGAGAGTGTCAGGTAGAATTTGAGCCGTAAAATGCGCGTATTAGGAATGGTCATATGTCTTACACACTTTGGCATTACAAAATCAGGGTACCATGTGAATACAGTTCGCAGGTCAAATAATCTCTACCCGTTTTTCGGATGGTTGAACCGAAGCACAAACGGAAAGAATTTCTTACTCAACAGAATTTGCAGTTAAAAGAAAAAAATTTACGCTGCTCTTAGGTATTAACTCGCATTCTAACGCGCAAAGCCACCCATTAACCCACTGCACCCCGCTCCCCTTTTTCACTGAGTTATGAAAACTTAATCGATTTTTCAGTTTAATTCAATCTTTAGCATAAATAAAAGAAGGAAGCAAAATATAATTTGATGTATAAAGGCTCTTTTGCCGAGCCTGTAAAGAAAAATTATCCAAAAATATAAAAAAATTTAATTTGCTGTTAGCGTGTGATTATGTACTTTTGTTCATTCCGAAATTCTCAGTAAAACAAAATTTACGATTTTAATAGGAAAAATCTGTAGTTATTTATCATTCGTTTAAAAGGCAATAAGGGCCACATGGTGGCTATTGATCAAGTGTGCATTGGTAAATACTCCAAAATTGCTGGAACTAAATATGGGTATGTTTACGTAACAATGACTATTTTTGTAGGCAACGACGAACTCACTAACTGTACGAGCTTCTTAAGACGCATCTCGTCCGGGTAACCGTGCAAGAAGTGGCGTGTAACTTCGTAGTTAAGCAATTTCTATCGAAAACAAGCATGCGAAAGTAATCATTTAAATTGATGCAGCGAATTGGTTTTTGTATTTTTATCAATTGACGATCAACTGATTTTCATGAATGTTTTGAGTTTTTTTTTAGCGTATTTCGTGTTGAAACCACAGTTACGACTGGTTGTTAGTTGAGGCTTAGTTGTCGTGTTTAGTGGTCGTGTTGGTGGTTTGTGGGTTCCTGTTTGTTTTAAAGTTTGCTGTCCTTCGGTTTAGCGGTAATGGGTTGTGGTGTGTAGAATCGTCAGATGGGACGACTAGTTATTAGATTAGGTGAAATTAAGTCCGGTGCCCTCTAGTACGACTTTGTGCAGGCGGAGCTTTTTTGGCAAGACCCCGCCATTGCGAAATGGAACACTGTTGCATAGCTATGTGAAGTTGGAGTATCTAAATGCTATAGGTATAAATGTTTTGTAGACGCAATTCAAGAATGTGCAATTTGTTCCTGTTTCTCATGTGTAAAAATTTCGAGCCAGGTAAATCCTTGAGACCTCTAAAATTATATTTATATGGGTCGTTGGTAGTCTCTGTAGCAATTCCTGAGTGTCTTTTAGTTGGTCACGAAATTTGTCAGGATGGGAATGTTGTCTGTTGTCCGGCGAATTCCGCTTCGAATCCCGAGTCGGTTGGTTGCATATGATCGGGCGTTGTACACCTTGGATCCGATCGATCCTAATGAGCCAGTAAGTGTTTTTCTGCTTCTTTCCGATTAGTGTTTTGACGAATGCGAAACTTCATAAAATGAATTTGATTGTAGAAATTCGAAAAGATTTTGATCGCAAACAGAGGAGAAATTGCATGTCGTGTCATAAAGACATGCAAGGCGATGGGGATCAAGACGGTCGCGGTACACAGTGACGTTGATTCTTTAGCGGTATTACACCTTAGTGGAATACAGTGACATTTTTCCTTCACATTGTGTATTTTAGCGGCACGTACAAATGGCAGATGAAGCAGTTTGCATCGGTCCTGCACCTACGCGTGATAGCTACCTGAGGATGGATAAAATACTCGACGCCGTGAAACAGACAGGAGCACAGGCAGTGAGTATCTGATCCTGGGATGATTTCTGGCGGACTTAGTTAATTCTGTGCAAAATAGCCGCTTCACTTTTTAATAAAACGATGAGCCAGTAGCATGCTATAAAGCATCAGAAGTTAAGTTACAGAGTCTGTTCATGAAACTTTTACCGCCTTTGCCACCTTAACGTTTTGATGCTAGCGGATGGGAAGTCGAGTTTAGGTTTTCGAATAGAACTGTTTGTCTGCGTTTCTCAGAATTCAGTCTAATCTTTCTCAATATAGTGTTCGGTACAGTTTTCTGTCTGCGATCCACTAAGTTCGGTAACAGGCTATCGTAGATTTACGCTAAATCAAGATACTCAGGAAGTTTATCATCTTCAGACATTGTAAAGTTCAGAAGAAATTGATTTTACCAACCTTCTGCGACTAATATCTAATTGTCACCTGAGTCTGTTAGCAACAGGTGTGAAAACAGATGTCAGATAAAACCACTGCCACTGATTTTCTTGAAACGGATCTCATTTCCGGAAGGCACTTTTTTCATGTTTTATGTTGATTTCCCAGTCGCCCACTTTCTCAGTGAAACCTTACAGCGTAGTTCATACTTAATTGTAATTAGGATTTTGAAACCTAATCATAGTTCTTTGAGTTGAAAATCGAAACTTCATGCGTAACTAATTACTCAGTTTAAGATTCCAGTTAGCATTATGTCCGTGATGGCAGTTCACCAGCTTTGTAGTGCGATGGCGTCGACTGCTATTAATCACTCAGAAAAGTATATTTTCCCATCCAGTGAGGCAGTTGGCTAGATTTCTGAACTCTTAAAAATTATGCAGATTCTGTCATAATTTGACTTATAGTTGGTTTCGAGTTTGGTCTTACTTGCCGTATAGTTCTGTGTTAACCAATTATCGCGAACGAATTCATGTTTGTGACAAACGCAGAAAATGAAGTAGTGATGAATCATAACTTTAAACCTTGTCGCTGTTAGAAATGATCATACTCACCTGGTCTCGATGTACACGTTTGTGTATTACTTCTAGTCCATCGCCGTATCGTTTTGTCTAGTCGTCCCATTCGAGCTAATCTTTTCCGACTGTTAGCTTGTAGCCACTGTTTGGGTGGAATAAGCACATAAATTTTAGTAGTGAAGTAAGAAGGAAGAATACACAAATGCAAACAACAATCGCAGATTCATTAGGAATAAACTCATGAAATCGGTTCCTAGCCTTTCTGTTTTTGGGTGACGGTTTTGAATGATAAGAATAAGAATTGCGTCCTTGACGGTAAAATTTACTGCTTGACAGAATCGCTAGGAGAAATTCACTTTAAATAAAGCAGTGCAAGCAAACCACGCACAGGGAGAAGAACTATACAAAAGTGAGAATGAGTACTGTTCTGTTAATCAAATGATTTAGGTTCATCCAGGATACGGATTCTTGTCGGAAAACACAGTGTTCGCCAAGAAGCTTGCTGACAATGGTGTGACTTTCATCGGTCCTAATTCGAAAGCTATTTTGGCTATGGGCGACAAGATTCAAAGCAAGCGTATTGCCACTGCGGCGAAAGTCAGCATGATTCCTGGTCATGATGGAGAAGTGCAGGTATTTCATTACATTCTAATATTTCAATACTACATTGCTATGTAAACTTCCACCCAGTAGTACATTTCATACATCTGAATTGCTCTGAAATGAAGTGCATTTGAACTGAAGGTTGCTTTGTGGTTTTGAAGTAGAAATATTTACCTTTTCTCCAGTGAGGTATGGTGTGTATTCAAAAGCAGATAAATGACCTAACGCAGCTTCTGATGAAGTTATTAAACGAATCAAGATCGTCTGTGGGTACTGGTATTAAAAATCTCTTACATTTCGGCTGCATGTTTGTATTTTTTAAAAAGTTCTTCGAGAATATGAGGCGCTCAAAACTAAAAGACAAGCTCAGCCATTCTAAATAGTCTTAATGTCTTAGCTTATGTATATATTGAGTATTCGAAGTGCAGAAGTTTTTAAATTTGTTTCTAGCTAAAGAAAATTCTGTTCCCTGTTTATTTTCCTGCTGAGATTTTTCCGCCTTCGCAAAGTAAATGGTTTTTTTTCAAACCTCTGCAAACATTTTGACTTGGAATCATTGAAAAGTTGGTTATAGTGGTAGGATGCTCCACATCAATTCTCAGTGGTTAAGTCATAGATGCAGTCGAGTGATTTAGCAGGCAGGTAATATTTAACAACCTGATCATAAATATTGAACTACTACAGATTGTAGTTGCTTTATTATCCGATATGGATTCAGTTCAGGGGATAGCTTGCTTTAATACATGTTACATGGCGAGAAAGCTGGAAAGCAGCCTTTGCTGTTCAGTGTACATGGCATATAGCGGTGAGTAGTCAGAACATTTCGAACATTCATCGACGTAAACAGGATTTACTTTAAAGTTTTACTTTATGTAGCGGCGGTAACCAGAAAAGTTTTTGCTCATTGTGTTTCTGACACAGGAACTACAATGCTGACTGTGATTTCTGAATTTCGCGTAAACGTCGCTTAATAATTGAAACCGAAATAGTTGCCTTAAGCTTTTCTGGTATTAGAAATGAGGGTTATATGATCATTTACACTACAGAATTACTATGTGCTGCACCTGTAATTAGACTTCAGCGATTGTTTAACAATCTTACATTGAAGGCGATTTGAAAGTGCGGCATATTGTGGAAGGACGAGAAAGCGCTAGGTCTGTATCGAACTCTCGAGGAAACGCAGTGATTTCTGACTGTTTTAAGACAAGTAAAAATGGGCGATAAGACAAGTAAAGATGCAAGAAACTTGCAAAATATTTAGCGTTAACTGTCATGTTTAGCTTAACTTTGGCGTAAGAACTTGATCGAACCGAGATCGTTGTTTTTAGATGATCCGGTAAACATTTAGCTAAATTGAAGTAGGCTTTGTACAGTCATTGCAATTCGACGTTTTTTCTTGCCTATA